CCCCCAGTCTTGTTCAGAAAACACGACTCGGCCCCATGCCTCTGGTCAGTGAGCAAATGCCTCACTTGACACATCACTGCCGGCAGCAGCACCAAGGCTGCTGCTGAGCCGGGCGCTCACCTGTCTCGGATCAGTGCTGGGAGGTGGGCGGGGAGTTCCTTGTCGCTGGTGGACACTGCAGGGGACCAGGGTCGGAAGGCGGAGAGGCGCTGGCGAGGGTGCACGCAGCCCAGGCCCTGTAGCAGGGGTATCGTGTGAGCAGCAGGGATCCTACCCGGGGACCCCGACCCAGGGCACACACAGGGAGGGAGGGTGGCTCCTGGGGCAGCACCTTGTTGGAGGAGCCAGCCAGCGTCCGGAGCCAGCTGGACTGTTTGTCCTTCTCTGTGGCCGCAGGTGACTGGGAGGAGGTGTCATCTGCCTTGGGCCTAATGGAGGCCGGGGGTTCAGAGGGCACCTGTGGACAACAAAGAAGACTCAAGTTGGCACCTCCGGGACCTCGGGGTTGGCCTGCTACAAGCCCAGCAAACATACTCTGTCCTCAGAATGGCCCCACCTCCGACCACTGAGTCTCCGAAAGTGACCCCATGGGCCTGCCGGGGGCCACAAGACCAAGAGCAAGGGGTTGCGCACATGACAAGTGAAGGTGAACAGGACCTGCCCCTGCCCCTGCCCCCACCCAGAGGAGCCACTCATCACCAACAGAGTGAGTTCTAGCATGGCTGTCACCACACGGGCCAATGACCTCACACACACAGCTGCAGTGGGCGCTGAGAGCCAGCCCCGCACGGGCTCTGCCAGCGGCTCCCTCACCCAACGCACCCGGGAAGGGCCCTGGCTGCTGAAGGGTGGCGGCCTGCAGCCTGAACAGGTGCTCAGCGGGGGCTCGAGGGCTGTGCCGCTGCCCCTGTGTTTCTGAGGCTGTCCATCTTGTCGGGAGTAGAAAGCCTCCTCTTTCTCCGGCAGAGAAGCTGGTGGTTTCAAACTACTGACCTTGTGGGTAAGCAATCCAACGTGGCACCAGGGCTCCTGGAAGTAAGGTCAACCGATACCAAACTCACTGCCACTGAACACATGCCAACTCAGGGGAACCCTGTGGGGCAGGGTAAAACTGACCCTGTTGAGTTTCTGAGACGGTACCTCATTCCAGGACTAGAAAGTCCAGTCTTTCTCCTGGGGTTGAGGTAGCAGGGGA